AAAAGCTGCTGGACTTGCACGAACTAATTGCATGTTTGAGAAGTGGTTATGCTCTCTTTTTTTTTTCTTGTTGTGGTTTTTTTTTTTTTTGTTCTTTCCAAAAGGTTAGTGATTTGGACAGGTCAGCAAAGTGGTGGCTCCAGTGGCCCCAAGCGAAAAGGAGAAAATGAGGCTCCTGGCGATGTGTGTAACGTTCAGCTCATGGCTGGATATCCTTAAGGTGGGCAAAAGTAGAATTTGCAGCCAGTTCTGTAAATACTCATGGGAATGTGTGCCCTGAAGACAGGTACAATTGCCACATTGGGTGGCAATTCAGTGGGTGGAAGAATCCACTGGGTCTTCCTTCAAATCTCATTCTTGAGCACTCCTTCTAGTGTTATGTGTGCAGGTCATGGTAGCACAGAGGAGGGAGAAGGGATTAGGAGATCTGTAATGTTTTTTCTCCTGTTCCATCACTGTGCATTTATGTTTCAGCCTTAATCTGTCCTGAGCCACTGCATTTGAGGTCTTTTGCCACATGTGTGTCTGTGCCTCTCTCCCTTTGCTGAAGGAAGGAGAAACCCATCTTCCCCAGGTCTCCTGATACAGTGAGGCCCCACACTCAGAATTGAGGTTCATTTCTTGGAGACAGTCATGAAAGAGTAAGACCTCTTCATCCGTGACTGAGGAACTAGAGCCTGGCACGCAAGAGGCCCTTCGGTTCGAACTCCCGCGGCACAAGCCCTTACAGAGTCTCTCTTCAGAGGGACAGTAGCATCAGCGTTTGGATGCTCCTTTTTAGTGGCAACTGGGAACTGAACCCTGAGGCGTTTCTGAGCCTCTCAGCCCCTAACTTCTTCTCTTTTCCTCTTCAAGGCCATGCTACGTCTTCCTGCTTTGTGCAAAGGAGAAGGTACTGCGTGACATACGTGCTCAGACAACCCTGAAGACCACGTCGCTTCCAATGGCCTTTTAACCCTTGGGGTTATAATTTTGAACACAGGTCACGTGGATCGAAAGAAACTGCAGCCCACAGAACCCCTGCTTGTGCGTGAAGGTAAAGTCTGTAAGGATTCTTACTTTCTGAAAAGTCTTGGTTGAATATTGTCTAGTTAATCCTGTAGCTGCTGCGGAATAAAACCACCAAACAGGTGATGAGGTGAGAACTACTGCTTCTTGATGAGTGAAACAGGCATTTGTTCTGTCAATAGGTGCAGAGAGAGCTGGAAACCATACCGGACCAGGCAGCGGTGTGGAACCTGGCGGCATTGACGTACATCGTCTGCAGGACTGAGCAAGAAAGGGGTTGACAGATGAAATGTCACTACCTTACATCAGAGACAGGTGAGCTTAGCTTTAGAAAACCCCTAAAGATTTTGCAGCCAGATAGTCAGGTTGTCTCGGAAAGGTCACTGCTGACTCTACAGATTTAGCCTTGGCATGTGCAACTATTGTCTGTGATCTGACTGTAAATTTTCCATCATCTGGCAGTATATGTGCACGACCGTAGTGCTTGAACAAGAATGAAAACATGTAGTGACCAATTCAGAAAACACCAACATTGAAAAAAGGTAGAGGGAAATAAATTATTCGTTCCTATTCTGATAAACACCAGGTATCGGACGTCACATGCGCTAACTGCCTGCCTGCAGCCAGGCTTGGGGTTCCCTTCTCTACCACCTGCCCGTTGTCTTGGTAGGACCTTCGGAGGTCCCTTCTCTATTGCTGTGTTTATGATGCTGAGCAGAAGTCTGAATAACGTTCATATTTGGTATTTAGGCAGTGATGGTTATTAATGTCCATCTCGGAGCTTCAGGGAAATGGCCAATTCCTCCATCTGGAACAACTGCGCTGTCCTTGTCCCTTCTGATAGACAGGGTCTACCTATTGCCTCTGCTGTACTTCTATAGGTGAAGAAAGTACGGAATCAGAAGACAAAGTGTGGTGTCTAACTTAGGGACCTGATCTTTTACCACTCAAGTCTTTCTGTTAGTTATAAAATTACCCATCGCAGCTATTGCTGGAAGTAACAGTTCCTCCTGTTGGTTATTCAGCAGCATTAGTTACCGGTGACTGGTGTGCCAGGTATTCCAGGGCATGGCCTTGAGGTGTAACTTCCAGAAAGTGAGGCTAAATGACTCTCAGCTCCTCGGGACCCCAGCTTTGGCATCAGAACAACTGTCAGGGTCCCGACAGGTCTCCTCCACATCAGGATTGACAGTGGGACTCCACCACCCAGGGTACGGGTACACATGGCAAAGCCCCGGGGAGTTTCTGGGGAGCCTGAGCTGCATCCCTGGGGGAGTCTCTCAGCAGCACGCAGAACTCATCCCATCTCTTCCTATTCCCGAGTTACATTTTTCTCTTCACACCTCGTGTCAGCGTTACTCCTAAGACGGTTTGTGACATCCCACGATTTCTGTCAGTGTTGCCAGCTGCTGTAAGAGGGTTTGCAGCCCTTTGATGTTTGCAGGGAGACTACGTGCTATCTTCTAATGAAGCTGGAGGCACCTGACCTCCAAGGCAGGTGCTGCTGGGACGATAAAGAAATCTTGATTTCAAGTAATTTGGCTTTCCATCACAGGTCTTTTGTTCTTGCTTTCTTCATGCAGTTGAGACTAAATACCTCTTCCGCAGACTCTGAGAGAGACTTGCAGAGCCAGGGAGAGCGTTGGGCTCAGTGGGAAGGTGTATCCCCTCCTGTCCACAATCCCTTCATGCACGCACTGAGGATCTTCTGCAAGTTGCTGGTGTGGCATTTCTCCCCTGTACCAGTCTGTGCTGGGGAGGGGGTGAGGGCGAGGTGAAGATGGAGGGGACGGTTTGACCGGCACACCGTTTACCAAAGCAGTAGCAGCACTCGGTGTCGGGGCAGATGTGGGCTGCTCTGCCCGCAGGAATTTCGGCTGCAGCCGCAGTAAGGTGGAGGGGCTTAGTGTGCTCCGGCTATTCCTTGTCCTATTATGTGAGGAGGGGTATTTTCAAATGGTATTGCAGTCAGCCTGCCCTGGGGCGAATCTCCACGGAAGGGTTTCGAAACAAGTTCTCCTTATTATTGGCCTATTCTTAAAAGAGCCTGGGATAATAGAAACGTCCTCGGAGTCGGTCAGGGCTTGTGTGCACTTCAGAAATGGTCATAACTGGTTGGTCCGCAGAGTGTGTTGCTGCAGTGCCCAAGTGCCTAACAACTCGTCTTCTCTGCATAAGACTGCGCAGAGTTCTGAAGAGGGTGAGACAAAGTTCTGCGTGCTGCTGAGTGCCGTGTTTTCTGTCCAGGGCAGCACCCTGACCGGGACCTGTAAACCTCCCCGGTGCTGCCCGAGCATTGTGGTTACGCTGTTTGGAGGAGCTGGCGAAAGGAATCCTGACTTTGGGGACTGAACCCAAGAGCTGCCGGTTGGGCAGCAGCAGGCAGCGTGTCTGCGTTTCCACTGTGGCATGAGCGGTATGGGCTGTGACGGGCGTGAGGAGCAGCGCTGTGTGGGAAGAGGAGGGGATCTCCTGTGTGGCTGAAGTACAAAGTAGGAGGCTTTTAGTTTCCGAAACATAACATTTGGCCTCCTAGGGGCATTATGTGGGAAAAACTGACGGCAGAGACCTGTGTCTTTTGCCTGCTTGCAGCTAGTTTGGATGTCATCTTTTGATAGAAAGGTTTCTCCTAGCACATTTAAGGGTACCAGCAGCTTTGCAGCATACTTTTTTAAAACTGGAAGGGTCTGTTGCGTACCAAACCTATCTGATTGTTTCCAACCCATGATAGGAACGTGGGCGGATTCTTGAATAGACCAAAGGCTAAGTGAAGAGCGTGTTGACTAACCTACTCTTTGAGATCCGTAGATGAATCTTCAGGAGGAAAGCGCAGAATACACTGAAGGAAGAGTGGCGGTGGCTGTGTGGGAAGTTAATTCAGACTTCGTTGGCTGTGTATTAAGCTAAGGAATTAACAGGGCAAGTGTCAAATGCTGTAGGCATGGCATTTTCATCTCTCTTCACAGGTCTGACTTTCCCTTGCCTTGACCTATTTGTCACCACATGCGGTGTGGAAAAGAATCCGTTAAAAGCTGCTTCTGCGTGAGAATCCATTTGTTCAGTTGAGCATGAGGTTGGGTTTTAAATGCTGTCCTCACTGTGCACGCATGAAAGCAACCACAGGCTACAGGGGTCGCAGCAAACCCCGGGTGCAGTGGAAGCAGAAGGGGAAGGGGGGAAGGAGGCAAACTGTCTGCACGTACAGCGGAGATGGAAGTTTGCGTGTGCCTTTGTGTAAGGCAAGGCACTTTGGAATTGAAACCCAGCAGCGGGTGACGATTACAGGCAACGTGTCTGTGCCTACGTGCAATTTTACTGAGCAGCTGTCTTCTGTTACCTAAATCCCAGGGGCCTGGGGGTCAGGGGAGCTGTACGTGCCTCTAAAGAGCCCATTGCAGCCGTTTCCAGTTTTGGTACCAGGGCTGATCTTGCAGCCCGTGGGGAAGACAGTATTCTTTCTCTCGGTTTCATGGTATCCATGTGGAGTTACGTCAGCTCTGGAAAATAATTCAAGAGTTCTGATCCAGAGTTAAAGAGGTTGAAAACAGTTAACAGAATCAGAAAATCTGGGTGGATGGATGGATTTAATATACATTGCAATCTGGTAGTCAAATCCTTGAAGGTTTCTGAATTCATTAGGAACTCTTAAGTCAGAATGAAATAGTCTGAGAGCGCTAAAGTTCACACGCTAATTTAATTTGTATTAGTTTTCAATTGTATATCAATTTGCAAAATCCTTTGAAAATCAAATTACGTGACGCTACCTCTTGCTGCGAACCTGCTGCTCTCTTAATGGACTCACTGGTGCATGGTTGCATAGCTCTGCTTTTTTAAGAATTTGATGATGTAAAATAAAATCTTTTCCCCGCCCCTAAAGAAACAGGAAGAGTGCAGCCACAAAAAGCACAGTGCCCTTCCCACCGTGTCAGGAGAAAGAGGGAAGTCCTGATAGAAGCCCACCCTAGTGTGCTTTTGGTTGTATAGCTCCGGACATGACTGGACGGACGGGTGAAGTCGGTCACCTCAAGATTCGAGCTTGCTTGCTGCTGATGGTGTGCCTGTGGCAGTGGACACAGCAAACCCTGGCAACACCCTGCCGGGACGGTGAGCTGAGAATAATCAGTAAAGACGAAAAGAAATGCTGCCCCAAATGCAGCTCAAGCACAGGTAAAGGAATGATGCGTCTGTCTGCTTTCCATTTGTCAATGTTGTTTTATGTCAAGCAGGGTGATCAGGCGTGGGGAACAGGCGCGCACGTGTGTGTAAATGTATCTTGAGTAACTGTATATGCAAAACAGACCGGCAAGGGCTTCCCTCCTGCCTCTGAAATTCATAATGTGCCTCAGCTGTAAGCTTCAGAGTGGACTCGTGTTTCGGGTTTGTTACATGCTTATACTTGTTATTCTGCAGTGGGGAAGGGAAAGCTGAGTTTCTGTGGGTTGCTCTTGCTCACAAGGAGAGAAGGTGTTCACTTCACGCCGATTCTGAGCCTTTGCTCCGTTCTAACATGGTTTCAAAGTTTCTCTGTGAAATTCAGACTTCAGAGGGAATACAGGGGGTGATGCTCTCTGTAAGGCTTTGCAATTTGCGGTCCTGAAGAGAAAGAAACATCCCACTTCAGTCCCTCCATTCCACTGGCCTGTGCTTGTCCCAGAGCTACACGCATGGACAAGGTCTAAGGTGGTCATTACTTTCGACAGCCTGTCCTAACCTGGGTCCTTGCCTGGTGTTAGCATGGTGGCGAGGTGGTAATGGATTCTAACTTGCCTGTAACTTTAAGTCAAATTAAGGCACTAGAGATGGAACAGGCTATAGCTGCAGGACGTACTGGGTGACACTTCTGTGCCTGTTAGGCCGAAGGACATAACAGGGGATTCTACTGGCCTCTTCCATGGTCCGTTCCATGGCCTCTTCCATGGAACGATCACGCTGTTCTTCCTAATTTAGGGCTGTCTGTGACAGTAGCCAGAGCTGAACAGCAGGGAACATGCAGCTGTTTGTATGACCTACAGCGAGGACTGCGCCTTCCTTTTCTGTTTGTCCCCAAAGAGGGTCGCTGGAAGCCTTGGCTAGCTAGTATGGTAGTGCTGCTGTCCTGCAGGTTAGCCACAGGACTAGCTGAGAAGTTACATCGTTCATCGGTGCTTAGGTAGGAGTCAGCCTCCACTTGTTAGTAGCTTGAACATATCTGCCTCAGCCAACACCGGGGACATTTGAGTTCCCTGTGGAAGGAGTGAGCGGACGCACGGGACTTGTGGGAATGAGTAATAACTAGGTGAAGAGCTGTAGAGTCCTCAGGAGTGTGGAGACCCCAGGGTATATCCTTTCCCACAGAGATAAAGCACCCACAGAAAAAGCACCCCCAAGCTGTTTCCTTTTTGCTGCCAGACGTCGCTAAGTTGTGAAGGCCGGTGAGAGCAGGCCAGTGGGCAGAGGAAGATGTGGGCAGTTCCCTGGTGGCTTTATACGTTCCATCACCAACCTCAGGAAATAATCTTCGTGTGATCTGTGCTACTCACTGTGGGTTTTTAAGCACACTGTTGAACTGGTCAGCATGTCCCTTGATGTCTTTTTTTTTTCCTTTAAGGTTATACAGCTTCCTGGTTGAACAGCACTTTTCCTCTAACTGGTCTGCCACTGCCGGAAGGATGGCTTGATACTGTTTACTGATGGGATCGGTATATATCATACATCCTTTGCTTTCCTGAACCCAGGAGCCTCTCAGAATCAGAGATGATATTTATTGAGTGCAAGCAGAGTTCAGGACAGAACTCCTCTAGAAACAGAAGGACAGAGGGTAGGAAGGGTGCTGGCTTTATGGCTTGGGTTTAGACTCACTTCTGCCCCCAGAGCGTAGGAAGCAGCTGCTGTTGTTAGGAAAGGCATGGAAAAGGAGCTCTAGCGTCACTGGCCAAAGATCTTTTGGGCATCCCTCCTCTAACATGGCTCAGCCTAACTGGGAAGAGCTCCGGCAGTGTCCTGAGAGTTGACTGGATGGTTGGTTAATGTGTAGGGCTTCTCTGGGGCACTGGCGGTGCCCTCCTCACCCCACAGCATCTAAACCTGCACAATGTCGTAAAGCCAATCTGCTGCCTTACTTCTGTCTACCATGACCTGCACTGGTTTTCCAGGTAAGAGAGAAGGGTTAACAGTAGTAAGTCATGCAGTGCTCAGATAACCATTGAGTAAAAATCTGAGTGGTGCTGAACTTGAGTATTTTAGACTTTATCCAGTACGCATGGGAGTGACATCGTTCTGGTATCTGTTTTTTCCACCACAGCACAGTACGGAACTGTTTCACCTGTGCCAGCCAGTAAGACCAGTGGTTCAGTTCATTTCTGGCCTCTGTGACAAAGCCAAGTCTTAACTTTTTTTTTATTTTTCTTCATGACAGGAGACAACAGCACATGTCAAGATATTGAGGACCATGACTGCAAATGTCGTCAGGGATACAGCTGTATTGATAGCGCCTGTCTCTACTGCAAAAAACTGCCTGAATGCGGAGAAGGCGAGGAGCTGGTTAAGCTTGGTAACTACAGACACACTAGTGACTCTAAAAAGCAGAGTTCAATATAAACGGCGAGCTGAGCAGCAGTTTCCTTCACTTGTTATAACCTGCTTTTGGGAAGGCTGGTGATGCAGGCAGAAATGTCCGTGACTAAAACCCTTGCTTCCCTGTTTTCTAAGTCTTCCCTTTCTAAATTTGAGACTTTCGCTTCCACGCTCAAACTTTCAGTATTATTTTTCTTCCAAGCTGCTAGAACTGTCAGTAGAAAACTGTTTTACTCTGTGTTACTTCTTAACTTTACACCCTCTGCTGTCAGATCAGACTGTTCTGTACCTTTTCTGTAAGGGGTCTGCCCACCCGTTTCCCGAAACGCAAACAGGGTAACAACTGCTTATGTGCTTCTCCGAGTGCGTTGTACTCTATCCTGTTATCCCCATCTTGCAGTAAAGGCACTGACCACTAGTAATTCATGTTCTCTTTTCTTGTAGGCATTTTAGACTTCACATTCAAATGTAAACCATGTGAGACAGGAACCTATTCTAATGTTAAGAATGGCTGGTGCCGTAACTGGACTGAGTATGTATTTATTGATACTTTCCTTCTTTGGAAATATGCATGATAAAATTCTGAAATGATTAATGCTTAAATTAGAAAGTAAAATTGAATCAAAGATGAGATCACCAATGAGATTAAATGATCAATTTTTTAAGTTAATCAATATGATATTTCACTCTCTTTTGCCTTTATAAATAGTCAGTCTCAAAGCAGAACTTAAAACAAACTGTTGTGGATTGAACTTGCTTCCAAGTTGCAAAATTATGCCAAACATGGACATCACTTGGAACAAAGAGGTTAAAAAAAATACACACATCAACAATTGTGATGTAGTGTTAATTTGTTGGGGAACAGCCATAACTTTACCTGCACTGCTATAAAAAGGGAAAAAAGGAAAGAAGTTGTGGAATGAGTGGAGGGAGGGAATAAAGGGAGCCAAGAGAAGGGGTGGAGAGGAATGAAGGGAAAAGCAGGGACATTCTAAATGTGACTCTTATTCTTCTTTTAGTTGTGAAAGTTCTGGGTTTCTAACAATCAAGCAAGGCAACAGTACACATAATGCAGTATGTGGTTTCCCTTCTAAAGATTTGGAGCAAGGTACCTTCTCATAATGATTTGTTTCTTTGAGCCTATAACTTTTCTCTACACTTCTTCAGTTGGTGACTTGCTGCGTAGTTATCATCCAGAGTTTGCTATCATGAAAACTTGCTTTGAAAATTACTGTTGTGTTTCTTGCAATATTAATATAAGTAGAGTTGTTGACTCGGGCAAAGATTCCACCATTAAAGCACTGTCAGTAATAAATAGAGAAAATCCCAACAATTGTCCTTAAATAGAGCACGCTTACTTGGCAAATTGTTAGAATTTTCCGTTGAACTGCTCTTGCTGTTTTGCTTAGATTTCCTTAGGAAGACAATGGCTGTGTTAGTTATCCAGTTCCTTTACCTGTATCGGTTGAGCCTACAACATCCAGAATTGAAATTTCATGTCTTATCATGGATCAGATTAGGTGGGAATAAGCGGGTACGGGCTTTGCAGGTACTGAGTATCTTGAGGACAGCAAGCTGCGCTGCTCCGGCCTTTTCCCCCACGCTTGTCCCTCCAGTGAATGGGTGCCTTTCGAGCCCGGGCCCTTCGCTCAGAGAAATTGTTAGTTCTACTGAGACAAATGGCAAAAAGGTGCTGCAGTTAACTTCCATGAGGCAGACACAAGTGTGAAAATTTGGCTGGCTGTAATGCTATTCAGGGAAATGTTGAAGCTGAAACCCTCCAAAAGCAAAAACCAAAACAGAGTAGATAGAACGAGCGATAGGTGCGAGACAGAGACATTAAACAATGAGGAAATCAGGTGTGTGGGTTTTTGCATGAATGCTGCTTACCACAGACGGTGACCTATTGCACCCTTGACTTGGAGCATCTCAGTTTTATTGTTAATACCCACGCTGCTTTGGTTTTTTCCGTGGAAGATTGTTTTCTGCAGAAAGAGGAAATTAATCTCTAAATTTTCTTTTGGCAGTAGTCTTGGCATGTAATTTCTGAATCTTTATTAAATATATTTATCTGCAGCTCCTATTACAAATGACTCTCTATACACCACCATCCTGGCCATCCTTACTGCAGTGGCTGTATTTGTTCTCATCCTGCTGACCTTCTTCTTGCATCTCTGCATATGGTCACTGAAGAAGGAAAAATACCACACAGTTGATGGTGAGTGCACCTTTGTGGGCTTCTGTGTAGCTTTGCGGTGGAGAACGATGTCTCTGTGGATCCAGAGTCAGAACGGAAAACATTAAGTTGAATAAATAGAGTAAATACAGATTTACTCTGTGATTTTGGGCGGGTTACTTAGTTTCGTGAAGATGCAGTGCATCACTCGTATCTTTGCCCTTTCCTTGGAGTAGAGGGTGTATTGGCAAAGGTCGCGGGCGGCTGACTGACGTGTGTGAAGACCTCTTGTATGTGCAGTGCTTTTGCTTATTCTCACTGCAGATCTGGAACATAACTTCCCTAGGCTGCCGGTGGCTCCACAACTGGCGCACCAGAGAGAAGAGACTTACAGCTGTCAGTTTCCAGAAGAAGAACATGGAGACAAAACCCCAGAAGAAAAGCCTTGCTATTTCCACTCGCAGAGTTTACAACGGGAACAGATAAATTGCAATATGCTGTGAGAACGTGGAGCTGAGCTCAGCTTTTTGGGGGGAAAAAAAAAAAAAAAAAAAGGGATGAGCCGAGCGCCTAAAGCGTCGTTGTATACATGGCAATAAGGAATGGGTTCAGAGGGCGTTTCGCTTTGTTTCTTCTCAACAAACCTAGATTTAGAAACAGAAAAACTGCTAAGTCAGACGGACGCTCAGTTCAGCTGCCTTGCATTATTGCAAGTTTCCTGGATTGCTGGGTTTTTCGTTTTCACTGATGCTCTTTTCAACTTTGTTTGGGACCAGGGACCCTTCTTATTATTTCCCTTTGCGTCTTCTGCTCATGTCTCTGTGGCATTCCCACAGATGGAGACGTGGGTAGAAGGTTGGCGTCCCACCACCGGTCCCTGCAGTGCTCCAGGAAATACAGTAGTACCTATAGGGCACTTTCACAGTTTCTCCGCATTTCCAAGATGTGTCCTGATGCTCACCTTAAGGGAATAAGGCATTGAGCCTGGCAGCCATATCTACTCCTCCTCTCTCAGCAGACAGCGTTTTGCACTCCTGTCAAATTGCCCTCTTCGTTATCCAGCAAAAGGTCATTTCGTTAATCCATGAAATACTCTCCTCTCCGATCCTGATCCCGACAGATGGTGGCGGTTAGGCCCGTCTCGGCGCGCAGAGGTGCCAGTGTGAGACTGCCGTGGCCACAGCGTGTGTGCTTGCAGAGATTTTCCTGTGCGAGTTCTCTGATCCCCTCCAGGCGAACTAAGGGAAAAAGGGAGTGACATTTATCCTCCTCTTCTATAACTCAGCAATCCTGGGTCCCTGGAATACTACATTACAAAAGGGAGACTTCTGAAAGGCTCAGCTGAGAACCACACTGTCTAGAGGACGACATTCAGTTTAATGCCTCTTCTCACCTGGTTTATAGAGTAGGAGAAGACGGTGGAAGATGGAGAAAAGCCCAACATTTGTTCTTGATGCTTTTTTTCCCCAAAGAACCAAAGCATCTGCTGGCGCATCCCAGCGTAGCTCCAGTGACTTGATCATCAGCTGAGAGATGTTCCCCTTACTGAAAACTGTACCATGGAGAATTTTTTTTTTAATGTTAGTTTAGTGCTTCTCCAGTTTCAGAGCTCTAGCAGGACTAGAAGTAATTGTTTTGCCTGAATTTAAACGGGCAGGCTTCCAGCGAGAGTTGGTTGCTTCTTGTGAATTGACACTGATTTGAAATAAGAATCTGGTCTGTGGCTTCAACTAGTTAAAACTCGCGTGTCTTTTTTTATATAATTATTTTTGTGTTATGTGACTGCAATAATAGATTTCAAAGCCCTGGACGCCTTCTGGTTCGGCCTCCTGGTGAAGCTGCTTGCGGGAGACTCTTTTATGACCGAATCACTTCTGGGTAAAAATGAGTTTTGACAGCCTTCACGTGAAAGGTTATAAATATCTGACAGTACAGCCATTATATCAGCTTCCTCATGATTTCTTAGAGATAACATAAACTGTACAGGGCTTCTAAACTAAATCCTAACAGAATAATGAAATTTCTGTTAATCACCTTACTAAATACTCAGAGGGGATTATTCCAAGTCTGAATGACATGTGGTTTTAAGCAGGGCTCTGTGAAATTACAGTAGCTGCAGAGCAGGAGTTATTGCCTCCACAGATGTGTGTTGCAAAAGCACTTGAGCAGAGAATCCCGGGAAGTGGGACAGGGTATTACCTTGGTAAGCGAGTCACGTAGGCTCTGGGCTCCGAGGCAGGCTCGGTGAGACTGGATAACGGTCTACCTGTTAGACTTTGATTGAGGTGACTCCGTGACCTCTCTAGGCAATAAGGTCCAGTGACTGATTTCAAGTCAGAGAAGGAGAGAGAATTTGTTAGTTAAAATTTATATTATCCGTTACGATGGATCGATCCTTGGTTTCTCTAAGCTCTTATCCTGCTTCACAGGCTGTGGTTTTTAGACCTCTCTCTAAGCTCTTTCCAGTTGGTCTTTCTCAAATCCTTCTCTGGAGGAGGTCTTGGCAAGCTTGAATAAAGCTGAAGGATCAATTTTATGATTCATGAACATGGTTTTGTTGCTGAACATTTCTTCAGTGATTATATCAAGAGGAGGTATCCTGTCTTTTTTGCTTTTTACCTTTTTTTTTTATTTTTGTCCATTATGGGATCTTGTAACGGGGTGAAGTAATTGTAAGGGAAAATGAAGTGTAAAGGTTATCCTTATTCACTATAATCTTTTCCTCCAGAGTCCTATTTTAATCTTCCAGCTTCTCTGTTACTGCGTTTCCCGCAACTGACATCCCGATACCTGAGCTTCCCCCTCCTGCAGAATGGGAGCAGTGATACTTCTTAACCCTAGAAGAACGCTGGGAGACATAATTAGTACTTTCAGTGTATTTTTGCCTTCTTTGATCCTCTTACTGTTAATTCTTGTGTTACTGATAATTTTTTCCATAGGTATCCCTATGTGAAATTCACTTAAAAAAGAGTGAATTTTCCTCCGTTGCTTTGGGAAATGTGCAGATTCTTAACAGAGGTGAACTGGAGGTTCAGCCAAGGAGAGGTGAAAGCATTGGACTGGATTAAACAGGATAACTTTTTTGAAGTGTAAGACTGTCTCTGTCTTGTAAGCAGGTTCCCTGTGGGATTTAATATACTTGGAAGTTTGAACACTGACTAGTAAAGACACTTCTTGCTGCTCCTTCTATGTTGGCCATGTTTAGTCTTGGCTCTGTATTAACCCTTCTTGGTTTTTTAATGTTTTTAACAAGATTTCTGATTGTGACCTTTTGTAAAGGTAAAATAAACTTGAAAATTGAACAAAGTGCCTATGTGACATAATTAAGCAAATTGGAAAGGAAGGGTTTCATTCTTTAGGTTGTCCCAGTGTTCTTAGTTTTGCTTTCCCAATTCACTTCCCCTCTCTCACGATTTCAGCAATGTACCTGCAATCAAGTTCATCTGTCATTAAATTTTAGATCGGTGCACTTGCACTTTTTTCCCTTTTTAAGCAGGAGGCTTAATGTTTCCTGCCTAAACCATCTTTTCGGCGACGCGCTACCAGAAGAGCAGGAAACTGTGGCTGACAATTTTTTTCCATTCCTGATAATGGCAGAGAAGCAGCAACGTTTTGGGCAAAGAAAAAAAAAAAAAAAAGAAATAATTCAACAGAGCTTACTGTTTAAGGAATGAAAGATCTGAGTGTCTCATGGAAGGCTCGCGCCTCTGGCAACATGCGACAAATCTTGGTGGAGCATAGAAGACTTTCTGGGCTGTGGGTGTCGAATAGCCAACGCTACTGCCAGTTAATATTGAAACATGATGAAGAGAGCCGTATTATTCATTGGAAATTTGCACGGTGGCCTTTGGGTTTCTGTATGCCTACCTTGAATAGCGGTTCCACTTCCTGCTTACCTAACCACCTGACTTCACGCCTGCTTATTGATGGGAAAAGCAACCAATTTCCTGACTTCTTAAAGCTCCACTTCAGAGGGAAAAACCCAAAGCGTGAATCATTTAAGCCCTGGAGAATTTCAGTAGAAGAGCAGTTCTTTGCATCAAAGGAAATGAAAGCTATTGGCTCAGAAGAGTGAGCGTGTAAGAAAACACAGTATTTAAGTTTCCATTCAGAACGAACAGCAGCATTATTTTATCGGTGTGCATTTGCTGCAATATTTGAATCAGATCATGGCTGAATTTTCAGCTCAAATCCCAGAGTACATGGAGTCTTTTGAGTTCTGATTTGAACTTCAGGTTGATCTCTGTATATAGACTGTAGGCTAAAAAAGTCTTCTCCCTCAAATCATTTACATCCAATGGAATGTCTGTAACTTTTTTTTTTTTTTCTTGAATCTCTTTTCAAAAGAGAAGATAAAATATCCCTGAAAAATATTCCAAAGTTTCTAGAGGCTAAGTGATCAAGCACATTTAGAAATACAATTTTTCATTAACGTTATTGGCATGAGTAAATAGTTAAAATATGGTATACGGTGATATCTAAAAAACCAAGACGTTCCTTGACAGTGCTAACAGACGGGTAAATATGCAGGCTTCAAAATGACGACATCAAATTACAGCTTAACTGAGGACACAGCAAGCTTTACACTATGTGCAGGTGAAGCTTAAAAGGTGTATTACATGCTTGCAGAAAAAAAAAAATGCTATTTTTTGTGGGACACTTGGTAGCACTTAGTCCTTGTTTTATTAGGAGTTGGCCAGCATTTATCTTAGAATCATAGAATCGCTGAGGTTGGAAGGGACCTTTAAGATCATCAGGTCCAACCATTAATCTAACCTGACAAAACCACTTCTAAACCATGTCCCCAGGTACCACGTCCCCCCTTTTTTTAAACCCCTCCAGGGATGGCGAATCCACCCCCTCCCTGGGCAGCCTCTTCCAATCTTTGATAACCTTTTCTGTGGAAATTTTTTTCTTAATACCCTATCTAAACCTCGCCTGGCACAACTTGAACCCATTTCCTCTCATCCTATCACTTGTCACCTCTTAAACTTCTCTTTGAGTTGTCCTATGAAGTAAGGAATCTAATTCTAAAAAAAGGTTGTTGAGTAAAGGCCTGTTGCCGTTTAGTGGGAGTCTTTCCTAAATACGTATTTTTGTCACATCACTGTGGGGCATGTTTGGCCTCACCGGCAATTCTGATGCCGTCCCTGACTTGGCGTGCTTGAATCCATCCACAGGTGAGGACGGGGATCGGTCCTTACAGAGAGCCGGGACTGGGAGTGGGGACTCTAAAAAGTGGGTACCGCTTCACTCAGTGTCCTGGTTTGGGCTGGGCTGGCCGCTAAAACGAACGATGAACCGGGATATTATGAAATTTCTGGAGCAATTCTGTTTATACAACGGAGGTGGATGAAGTCTCCTATGTATGTGCCTCTTCGTTCTGCTTTCCGTGTTGTTTCAGACCTGATCAGCCAAATCTTTCACCATCTTACGAGCTGGCTCTTCGCGCACGTGGGCTTTGATAATGCTTAGAAAGGAACACCACGGGCAAATTTTAAGA